AAAATAAAAAATATAAATATAAAAAAATAAAAAATAAAAGGTCAAGTTGGATCTCTAGCTACTGGTCTGGAGGGTTCCCCTAATGAATTAAGCAAGAAAGAATAAAGTAACTGAGAAATATGATCTCACTTTTGTAAAAGCAAATGACAAATTCATATTATTTATTTTTTATTTTTTATTTTTATTATATTTTTTTGAGGCTGACCAGAGATGCCTTTTAGTCCACAGGGAGTTATCCTGTTATTCTTTCAGAGGTTGAGAAGGCTTACCAGGAGCTAGGCACAGGCACACATAACCTTATTCCCTGTCTCTTCTCCCCAATTTTCTCGGGGGAATATTTCTGAATATTAGAGACATGGAAAAAAATGACATATTCTCCTTTTCTCTCTCCTCATGTAGGGATTTCACACTTTAACTACAGGGGCCCTGTAGGACTTCTTTCTCTCTCAGTGATCAACAAGAGGCAAATGTGAGTGCTTTAACCTCAACAAGTGGTCTTAGTTGAATCTACCATAAAAAAAAGGTGATTGAAAGCCTCTGCTTTAGGCCCTAAAAAAAAAAGGGAGGGGAAGAGTGCAGATTGGTTTGGCTCAGTGGATAGAGCATCGGCCTGGGGATTGAAGGGACTGAGGTTCGAATCCAGCCAAGGACAAGAGAGAGCGAGAGCAGGGTGCAGAGGCTGAGAGGCTTTTGGCCTAGGAGGCCTAGGGCGGAGAGGCCGAGGGAGAAGTACAAACCATTTACTCTGAAGTGTCCTTGGTTTAGGGAAGATAGGATTTACTAGGTGGCTGCAAACTGCTACTTACCTTAATTGTCTTAGTTTCCCTATCCCACTTGTCCTGGAATGTTCCTAGCTTCTTACTATTCTGTAGCAATGAAGTTTATTTACTTTTATTTTTTAAAGTTTTAAAATACCATTTCGTATTGGTTTCATGTGTACAGCATCGTGGTTAGACAATCATATACTTAACAATCAATAAGTTTTAAACTGCCTGCCATTCTAAGTAGCATGATGAGATTTTGCATCATCCCTCTTGGTCCCACCAGTGAATGTAAGTAATCCCTTTGTCAAGAGTATCCACCCTGTATACACTACTCTTCAGATAGTCATTTGACGACTAGGAAAGTCTGAAACAACAGTTGGGTCAGGTATTAAATCTAGGTGAGAGGGTTAACTTGAAAGGCAGGCAGATAAGGCAGGGGGCCAGTGGGAAACAAAGGCAGGAGGAAAAGGCAGGGGCAGACACGGCAGCTTGAGCAAGCATAATCACAGGAACCAACCAAGCAGAAATAATAAAATGTTTCTGGACTCAAAGCGGGAGGCATGGGAAAACAAGGGAGGGCCTGTAGCAACAATGTGTATGAACGCATGGAAACAGAGAAAGTTCAGCGTAGGAACAGAGAAAGAACACATAGAAACAGGGAAAGTTCAGGTCCCTTGCTGAGCAAGAACAATGAGGGAATCAATCAGGTGACACATGTATAGAAGCAGGCTTGTAGCAAATATATCCCCCTGGACCACAAGGCTTAAGGGGGGCAGTCTATTACTGGGCCCCCACTCCCCGTGAAGGGAGTCTGAATCTGCTTGTAATAAATTTTCCACACTCTTGCTTCAATCTTTTGGTCCGTGGAGCTCATTCTAAGCATTGCAAGACATGAACCTGGGGAAAAAGACCTCGGCTCACCATTCTGGTTATTGTAGGGTTGGTATCCAGGAATATAGCACCAGTGACACCATTCTGGGCTGGTGGATTTTCTCGGTAACAAAAGCAATAGCTAAGTCTGGACAAAACTTCCCACGCATTTGTAGTGTTCGTGGGAAAAAAATTTCCTCTACCCTTCAAGGTTCTTCTGGGTGGTGTAACGATTAAATTGACACAAAGCAGATTAGCAGGAGAAAAATTTACATTTAATAACACGCAGGCCTCCTTACACACAGGAGAGACCCAGCAACACCAAGTAAGTTGGCAAAATGGTGGAAGCCATTGCCTTAAATGTCACCTTCAGCTAAAGGCAAAAGATGTTGGGTGGGAGTCGGTGACCGGAGGTACCCAGGAAAAGCAGTTAACAAGGATAAGACTGTTCTGCAGAAGTCCCCACCTCTTCATTGTTAACAGCTTTACAGAGATTTTGATAGCCTCCTCTTCCGGGTACAGTGAGGGCAACACCCTTGCAGCTTTCCTTCACAAATGTGAATATTCTCTTATAAAGGGCAACTTATACTTGGTTTTCAGAGCTCCCCCCACATCTGCTTTTTTATATTCACCAGCCTAAAGTAACCCATATCCCCAAAGAGGCATCTTTTGGGGGTGGCAAACTCTGCTCCCCTTCAGTAGAGAAAGGTAAAAGAGGATAATTAAAACTTCTTTCTCAAGACAAGGACAAGGAGGATGACGTTGTGAGTCATGTGTGTCTCCCGAGCTGTCCTTCTGGGGGTAACCTTTACCCGCAAGGGCCAGAGGCTCACGGATTTGCATTGCAGCGGAGATCAAGCCTTTCATCAGGGTCATGAAGTTGCTAGAACACAGCCTAGGAGGGAGCTTGGGTAGGAGGCTGCGTGCCTCCTGGGGTCCAGGGGTGGGCAACCGCATCCTTGAAACCTTCCACTGGTCACAGACAGGCCCTGCGCCTCTGGAGCTCACATTCTGATAGAACTTCAGACCACGGTCAAATGGAGGCCACTTAGGGCAGGCAGGAAGGAAAGGCCTCTTTTTAAAAAAAATTTATTATTATTATTTTTTAAAATATATTTTTGTTGATTTCAGAGAGGAAGGAAGAGGGAGAGACAGAAACATCAATGATGAGAGAGAACTACTGATCGGCTGCCGGCTGCCTCCTGCCTCCTACTGGGGACCGAACCCGCAACCCGGGCATGTGCCCTTGACCGGAATCGAACCCAGGACCCTTCAGTCTGCAGGCTGACGCCCCATCCGCTGAGCCAGGCCGGCCAGGGCGGGAAAGGCCTCTTGAGGAGGTGATCTCTGACCTGGAATTTTGGAACTTTAACAAATGTTTAAGTGCGGGATGAGTGGTGAATGACAAGCAATCGAGTGGTTGTCAAAAACCCAAAGAATGTTTCTATTTGGCGTCAGGATCTTAATGAAAACGAGGAAGGGAAAAACAAACAAAAAAACACACTTAGTATTACGGTCCCTGAACGGCGCCTTCAAAGCCGCCAGGCTGAAAAACGGAGTCCCCGCCGCAATTCGAAGGGCCTGGGCGTGGAAAACTCCCAGCAGCAGCGCACGGCCTGGAGGC